GTTGGTTTGACTTCATTTTAGTATGCTTATTCAATAATAGCGGATACTGAATAATAAGTTGAGTCACTTCGGTCGCTGATAGTTGGCAGATGAATTTCACAGACTTGTGATGTCATTGCATTTCATATAGCTCTGCATTCCAGTACGAGTACATTGTTGGTCTACGGAGTCATCAACATGCCAGATGCCACTTCAAATATGTATGCAAGATAAACATATAATGATAGGTAAACAAACTGCTAAACCATAATATAAAATATGTAACCAATAATGAATGATCTGGACTCTAGTTTGAAATAATGGCTTGAGTTGAACTTGAGGGGAATAATACACATTGTGAATATCAATGCAATAAGGCTGGTTTATGAAAAGCAAAATCAAGATAGGGTAAAATCGAATCACAGCTTATATTTCCAAATTTGATAAATTAGATTATGTAATCCTGTGGTTAAAAATACTTAAAGCTCAAGCCAAATTTTGTTAACGCTCCACTTTCAGCACATGGAAAGTACCTCTAGCCCTGGATGCCTGTTCGTCAATCTGGATGCAAGACTTGAGGCTGGGAAGATTCAAATCGGCCTCGGACTGTGTCGTCTTAAAAGGAGAAGCAGAAAGATGGGGACGATGGAATAGATTAGGGATGGTAGATTGAGCAGTGACAGTCAAGGAGGTAGCATCAATAGTAGAAGTTGCGACAGTCGGCAAAATGAGGGGTTGAAGCTGAGATTGTAGCTGAGTTTTTTCCGGACCACCAATGAGATGTATCTGATTAGCAGCACCTGATGGAAGCTGTTCAGGCATGGTGGTCAGCCCAAAATCTGACTGGGTCGAAACCAGAGTACCTAATCCAGTGGTGCAGGTGTAGGTGGAGGGTCGAAGCCCGGAGACATTGACGTTAGTGATTACACTGCCTTGTTGAGAACTAGTTTAGGCCAGAAATAACAAAATAAAATGCTTATATAATATCACCGCGAAACTGTAAATGAAAAATGATGTTTTGGTATAAAGATTATATGCCTAAAATAAAGTACAATCAACCCAATTTTTTCAAGGTGAAAATGGAAGAGTCCACTTAAATTAGTAACGAGTTATATGTATTTTATTCATATCTCTCTGATTGCTATTCAAC